ATTCCAGCATTTGGAGAGTGTTTGTTTGGGATCTTATTTCCATTTTGTTTGCCTGGTAGCTAGCTGATGTCTAGCACGCAGAGTGACAGATGGTCTTTACCTGCAATACAGGGATAACTATGGGATATATCTTCAAGTGTGACCTTCACAGCATGCTACACTTGAATCCAGGCTGGTACAAATGAGAACGTTCATTCCCTACTGTTGAGCAGAGGCTCAATGGTCCCTCATCACCTTGTCACTGTCTCTTTATCTGAAGTTTCTCTGATACCTTTAGGTATTACATTCTGTAGGATCCACACAAACCTTATTACCAGCCAACCATCTGCAATCATTTTGTATCTGTAACAGTGCCCTTCAAAAAAAACACAAGTTTTGGAATTGAAATCTAAAGATGCTCATTGTCTTTCAAGGTTCTGACCCATCATTTTAACACTTTCCCTGCTGGATGAATGAAATGAGCCAATCTCATTTCATTACAAACAATGAAAAAGAACTGAATATATATATATCATGTAATGGACACACTCATATGCACATTCATTCAACTAGACTTGGTCAATTTAAACTTTTCAGTTCCAAACAAGTCTTCTTGTTAAGTTCTACACAGGCCATCTGCAATTATATTTAATTCCCCAACAATGTGGGTGATTTTTTAAGTGATCCAGATTGAGGGCAAGAGTTCTAATGGAATAACCTGTCATTCTGGATCTTAATCATTTCCAAAAAAGTTTGCAGATTTTACAGAGTAGACTATGGTCCCTCTGCACTAATTTCCAACATATGTCTCAAAGTGTTTCAGAGCCAAGCTAATAAACCAAGGGTTTCCTTTCCTGCTGTGAAGTATCATTTTTGATGATTCTTTAGTTTTATTGGAGTAGTACCTGATTAGTCTCCTTATTCTGATGCGTCTTCCTGATGGAGGACAGCCCCTACACTGGTGTCACTCGCATTGATGGTCACCTTAAATATTTTGCTAAAGTTTTGAGCTGCAAGCACAAGGTCCTATATCAAAAGGGCCGTCAGCTTTCCAAAAGCAGTTTGGAATTTCTTAGCCTATGCTACTTTTGTTTTTCTCAGTAGTAGATCTGTCAGCATCACAAGTGGAGTTTGGGACTACATTCGGTAGAACGTACCCATTCCCAAGAATGTCATGATTTCCCATCTTGTTCTAGGAATGGTGTTCTATGCTACTGCTTCTACCTTTGCAGTCCTGTGCAGAACTTGTCTTTGACCCACTGTTTCCTATGTAATTCACTTGGGCTTGGCAAATTTGCTCCTTATGAGTTTGATCATTAGGTCAGCTGACTGTATTTTTTTTTGGAACAGGACTTCCACTTATTTTAATTGCATTTCCCTGGTGCCACCGTAACACTGGGAGCCCATCTAGGCACATTACAATATTAGATAAGCCTGTTGTTATCTGGTTTTTCAGCCTTTGAAAGGTGGCACAGTACTGTATTATGGATTCTGAATGATTCAACACTGGTATAACCAATCTGAAGTTATGAAGGCAGAGATTTTCTTCATATGGGCAATCATGGCAACCTGTCAGTACCCCTTGTGTAAGTAGCACATTGGGAGCAGAGAGCCCTGCTCACCACATGAAGATTTTGGTCGACAATGTAGAGGCTAATGGAGCCATCTGGCTAAAAGTTACTGATGCAGCCCATTAACCACACTTGGTACCCATAAACAAATTCTAATGGAGTGAAACTTGGGGGCTCATTGGGTATTCCCTCACGGCAAACAGAAGAAAACCAAATCTTTTGCCAGTTATGGGGATACTCATGGCAGCATCCAGAGACAGCTGTTTTTAGAGATTGGTGGTACTATTCTGCAGGTGATATGCTAAGAATTCTGCTGGATCCTGGTAAGGTTACCTATAACTTCCTAGAAAACTTTGGTCATGAACTTTGAGCCCTGATCTGACTGGCTTTTAATGGGCAAACCATACCAGGTGAAAAATTGGGTCAGTTCCCTCACCACTACCTTGGCAAATATTGTTCTCATAAGAATCGCATCTGGGAAACAGATAGCCATGGACAATGATGGTGAGGATATGGTGGTAACCCCTTTCCACTAACAACTTGCAGAATAGTTCCCCTAAAGGGAATCATTGGTGCAGGTTTATTGCAGATTGGGGTTTGCCTGGCAGTTTCTGTAAGAACCTTCCTACATTCTTATGGAGCTGTAGCCAGTAAAAAAAATGTTGGCTGATGCAGGCTGGAGTTTTGTGTACACTGACATGCCTGGCCATCAGAATTTCGTGAGCTAGCTGTAACAATTGTCTACGGTACCCTGGCAACACAACTATCTGGTAGATCACTGCCCAGTCCTCATTTGATGGTTTGGGGGTGGGAGGGTCATTTCTCATTTCCTCCCCAGCACCTCATTTTTTTATACAATAGTATTCAGGAACTGCTTCTGCTTCAGCTTCCGTGTGATGGGTCTGATCAAATGTTTTTAACAGCGGGTCAACTTGTTGGGCTGTTACCAAGGAAGATCTTCTTGTTATCTCTTTGTGGTCTTCTAGATTTGGAAAATAAGTTTTAGATAAGCACACCTGAGACTCTTCTGTTTGCAGTACCACCTCAACATTCTTTGGCAGAGCTTGTCTGGCCATGGATGGTGCGCCCACCAGGAACTTTCTCCTGCTGCTGCTCAGTTTTCCAGAAATCAGCAAATGTCTTGAGGAGCACTGGGGATGCTGTTACTTTGGATATTGCCAAAGGGGGATGTGCATGTACTCTCCTTCAATCTTTTTTACCGGCACCTACTGCCCTGTCTATTTGGAAGGTCATGCCTTTTCCCAGCTGGCCCCAGTACCCATTAGTATCACTATAGGCTTGCTCACCTCACCTTGAGGAAATGTAGCCAGCCTTCCTTCAGATGCAAATTCTCAGTAACTCGCAGGGAATTGGTTAACCTCATCTACAATCTCAGGGGTGCCTTTGTAGGGATTTGCAGCTGCAGTCAAAGTCATAGCTTGGTCTGTTCTGCTCTCTGACTGATTCCCATTCTCTGCATGAGTTGTATGTCCTCTAGCAGTTGTCTCGGGCATGCCTTTTCTTTCGACAATTAAAACATGCAGGCTTCTTGGTCTCACCTTTCATGTCAGCACCACCCTTTCAGTCCTGAGGATGGCTTCTTGCCTTTCCCTCTCACCCATGAGTGCTCAGTTCCCTTTTGGTCCATGATTGAGTTCCAGAATTCAGGTTGTGAGAGAATCCTTTTGTTCTCCTGTTTCCATCCATGTGGCTGCTAGCTAATTCACTTCCAGCACTGAAGGTGAACCAGATTCTTTACTTGCAAGATAAGAAAGCTCGGTTTAATTGTTTACATTTTAAAACACAAGTTTATTTGGATCTGAAAGAAAGGTATCTACAAGGGATTGGATTCATTTTTAAATAAACCTTGTTGCAGCCTACTGATAGTTGGATGAATAAAGAATGGGAGCCAGTTCAACCCTCCTCACTTGAGAGCTTAATGATTTGAGGTATCCAGTCTGGAGCTATAACAAATCGGAGAATCTCACCTAAGGCGTGGGCGTACATTGGAAGTTCATTGAAATCTGGATGCAACAATGCCACTATTGAGAATAATCCATTCTCTTTGATACAAAAACCCAATATATTGGAATTGTTTCAACTAATCCGTTATGAAAGCAAGAGTTCACCCAAGTGTTCAATGTTCAACAAGTATCTCACTTAAGTTCTCAATCCCTTATGTCAATAAACATTTCTATTCTACACTCAATAGGAGCAGTCTTTCAGTGGATACTTTGTTGTGAATGTGATCACATGCAGCAAAATCCTATAAGTTTTATATGGATTCAATTTGAAATACCTAA